AAAAAAAAAAAAGAAAGAAAGAAATAAGCCTGTCACAAAAAGACAAATACTGCATGATTCCACTTATACGAGGTATCTAAAGTAGTCCAACTCTTAGAAACAGAAAGTAGAATGGTGGTTGCCAGGGCTGTGGAGAAAAGGGGAGTTGTTGTGCAATGGATATAGAGCTTCAGTTCTGTAAGATGAGACAGTTCTAGAGATCTGCGACAACAATGTTCATATAGTTAACACTACTGTACTGTACACTTAAAAATGGTTAGGATGGTAAATTTTATGTTATATGTTTTTTACCACAATTTTTTAAACAGATACATGCAGAATCAGTAGTAAGGTTGTCATTATAAGTAGTGTTTTTTAAATTATATTTCAAGCAGTAAAGACAAAAATGTACATTTTAGATGTATTTATATGTACGCATATGTGCATATCAGTCACATTTACATATATTTTTCTAAAAAATATGGTTATTACAAATTAAATAAATATATTTATAAGCTACAGTATCCAATAAATATTTTACACAATGTGAACCAAATAAAGGAAAGAAAATGGCTTACTTTTTCTCAAAATTACTATTCTCAGAGGACTTAATTAGGGATGCTCCTATTGCATAACTCAAAGCATATCCGAGTATTCCTAAAGCTTCCAAAATGCCTGTAAAATAAATACCGAACATCAAACAACTACATAAGCCAGCTTTGTCACAAGAGGACAAAAATTATGTCACTGAAATGGATTACTTCTGTAAGCTTCATAGCATACTTTATTAGTCAGGGTTCTTCCTCCAGAGAAATAGAACTGATAGGATATTGAGAGAAAGAGAGATTTTAAGGAATTGGCTCATGCAATTGTGGGGCTGCCAAGTCCAAATTTGTAGGGCAGGCTGGCAGGCTAGAAATCCAGGTAAGAGGTAATGTTACAGCCTTGTGTCCATAATTAAATTTGAAATCCACAGGGCAGGCCAGCAGGCTGGAAAAAATCAGGCAGAGTATCTATGTTGCAGTCTGGAGACACAATTGCTTCTTCTTTGGGAAACCTTAGTCTTTGTTCTGAAAGCCTTCAACTGACTGGATGAGACTCATTACTTATGGAGGGTAATCTGCTTTACTCAAAGTCTACTGATTATAAATATTAAATTTACATTTCTTAGTCATATCTAAAAAATATCACAGAAACATCTAGACTGGTGTTTGACCAAACAACTAATTGCCTTAACCTAGCCAAGCTGACACATAAATCATACATATCATCCATTGCATGTATTAAAGAAAGTCAGATAATTTAATTATATAATCCACTGTACCTTATTTAATCTATAAATTTAATGTACTGTAAATAAATAGATTTATATTTAATATAAATATAAATTCAATATACCTTATTTCACTTTAATTCATGGTACTAAAGCAAGATACTTTAACATAATCATCACCTTTGCATTCTTCACCTTAGCTGCCAGGGTAGCAGAAGGTGGAAATAAAGTAAGCTTCTCTCTGCAGTGTACAGGCATGTGTTTTCATTACTATTCAGTAGAACCAAAAGTAAAACAAGCAGATTTGTTGCCACCCTCAGCCAACACTAATAAATCACTGCAAAAAATTTTTTTCTAAAAGCAAGCATAAATATGAATATCATCTATTTTAGTTTATTGACATGACTTTCCTTGCCTCTGGTGGAAAAATTATTATTTTGGTGCAAAATGCTATTTTCTTTTAAGCTATCTTCACAATAAGTATATAAAAACCACTTTAAATTTTTTTGTCAAAAGTGATAGATAACTCTGTATAAATAGATGATCTACTAGGACCAGAAGCTATTGCAATATAAGGAAGTACAGATTATTCTGAGATATACCCCAGGGTTACTTACTGTCGGATACAGTAGCATAGAACACTATAAATAGAGGATACTACACCGTAGTCAATTAAATAGCATATCACTTCTCTCCCTGATAGGATGAACCAGATTATGTTTTCATTAACTTCAAAATATCAGAGTCCCCTAAAAAGATTCAGTAAATTAATGTATGTAAAGAACTTAGTACAATAATGATGATTATTTCAGCACCACACTGAATCGATCACTGAGGAGGCATGAAACAATGTTTCTATCCCCTTTTGGACATGATGGCAGCAACTTCCCACCTATATTCCCAAAGTTTAAACATACAGCTACTCAAGCAATTCAATCTGGTAATTTAAGATTTTTTTTCCCTAGAGAAATGAACTGCAGCCTATATAGTTTGATATGACAAATATATATAAACACAATATATATATATGGAAAGAATATAGTTTTTATTACTTAAGAAAGTATGTATTTTTCCTATTGCTCTATATCTTTTCAGTGATCTTCAGATGACTTGTCTACAATTCCAAATCTCAAGAAGCTCCTCAGAATTAAGTGGTTCAATGTGAGATTAGTGGATATTTGGTCCTGTCCAAAATATTCATGGAGACATTTGGTCCAGTCAAAAGACCCTTGATATTTGGTCCTGTCCAAAATGTCCATTGAGACACTTGGTCCACACCAAGAGGTCCTTGAAATTTGGTCCTATCAAAAACATCCACACATAGAAAATGTCCCTGGGTTCAAAGAGCCCATAACATTTATTTATACTTTAGGTTTATAGGATTAACACATAAAAAATACTATCATGTTTTATTGGTCCAATAATTGTGTTGAGGCTGTATTGCCAATAATAACCCTTCTTGCCTCATTAGCCTAGCTGGTAATGGTACTCGGGGTTAGGTAGATGGGTCAGGGTTTGACTCTTGCAGAAGAGAGAGATTTATATTAACTATGCATATAGAGAAAGAGTCCTACAGTTAGGAAAATGTACAGAGGACAACAAGTAGAAGACGGGATCTCCCAATCATGGTTCATTAATATGTCACTGGCATTTGGTTGGATGTGGCTGGGTGGTTCAATAAAGGCAGAGTTTGAAAGAAGGAACTTGGTCAAGCCACAATGTAAAATGGGCAGCAAACACGTTGATGTAAACACAGAGCATCTCACTTGTTCGGAAGGCGAACAAATGTGGCTCTCCTGCCACATAGCAGTCAGATATAACAGCCACCGTGAGGGAGATACTGGGTATCTAATTAACACCCTACAACCATCCCATCACCCAAGGTTAATGGGCAACGTTTCCCTTGAATCAATGTCCTGTGAAGGTACATCATGGTAGACTGCAAAAAGCGTCTGCTGCTATTTTTAGAGGTTTTAGTGTATGTGACTCCCACATTTATCTACCTATAGGCTGCACTACCATGCCCTCAGCTGGTGACTACCTACCGACTGATCCAGCCCAGCTGAACTGGGTGTCAAATCCATAAGACATTACTAAGATTCCCCCACCAGTAAACCAATGACCATTGGTCAGCTGGCTACAAAGGGGAAAAAAATAACCCTTTTTCTGTTGCTTGGCAATATGACATCTTGATTTGAAAATTCTCAGCAGAATACAGGGGACATAGTATACTCACAAAGAGGAAAGCCAATGCTACATTATAATGGTTTTGTTACCATTTCCATTCCTTTAATAGAGATGGAAATAAAAGCTGGTGCTGTAAAGAGAGGAGAATCTGCAATGCCCAATGTACAACTAATCAGGATTTGGATAACATTACAATCATGCAAAATGAGACAGAAAAACATCAGCACAACACTGATATTGAAGGGGAAGTAAGGAAAACCCTGAATAGGTTAAAACAACAGACAGAAGAATCAAATGCAACACCATCGCAGGCACTTCAAAGAACTCTCCATAACGTTCATGATGAAGACATCTTGTTAATGCTACCAGAAAGAAACTCATTAAAGAGACAGGTAAATAGAATTCAAAACAGGCATTGCCCTCCAAACCCAATTTCACTGCATGGAATTGAAATTTCAGAGGAGTATAAATTGACTACATGGGGAAAACCATTTTTTATGCACAAATCAGTGCTCAAGATGGTGAAAGAATTCTTATTTACATAACTTTTGACAATATTTGATATTTAAGTGCCAGTACCACATTATTCAGTAATGGCACCTTCAAGACAGCACCAACATAGTTCACTCAGTTATTTACTGTACACCGTGTAATATTGGGTTATACTATGCCTCTGATTTATGCACTAATAATGAAGAGGCAACAAGATACTTACAGATATATATATATTTATCAGAAAGTGCTTGCATTTGCATGGGAAAGAAATCTCAACATCAATACTTCATTGCGCATGATGGATTTCGAGATTACAAATACGAATACAATTCGAGTACTCCTACCAAATGCACAAGTACAAGGATGCTTATTTCACTTCTCACAATCACTGTGGCAAAAAATATCTTTTTGGGGTCTACCATACAAGTATACGACAACAGAAAGTAACACCCGTAAGTGCGCATCCATGTTGTCTGGACTTTCATTTGTGCCTTTGGAAGATGTAAATGAAACTTTTGAGTACATTGTGGAGAATGCAGAAGAAAATTTAGATGACCTAATGGATTATGTTGAAAGAGTTATGTCTGTGGAAGGCATGGCAGAGGCAGAAGAAGACCAGAAGCTCCAAGATTTCCACCAGAAATTTGGAAAGTTTATACATCAGCACTGTAATGGCAATCACAGGATGAACACCACAGTGCAAGGCTGCCGTAGCAAATTTCAAAAGCTGATGGTAGTGCACCATCCTTCGATTTGGAGATTTATTGAAATGATAAAAGACGAACAGGAAAGTAATAAACAAGTTATCACCCAGGTTCTTGGCAGTCACACTCAAATGAGGCCACCAATTTCACGACAATAACAACAAAATCAAATTCATATAATCGAAGTTGTTAACAGATATAACAAATATAAAGCCAATAATCAGGTCAATACATACTTGAGAGCAATTGCTTATCGACTTAAGAGTAACCCTGATGAACTTCATGATGAGGAAGAAAAGAAAAAATGTGAAATCCAAAATTCATCATGAATTACAATAAAAATAATGTTAATAAAATTTTAACGAAGTTAAATGTTTGTATTATTTAACAAATCATGGACTAAATGTCTCAATGAACGTTTTGGACAGGACCAAATATTTGGATCTTTTGGCATGGACCAAATGTCTCCATGGGCGTTTTTGGATAGGGCCAAATGTCCTGCAAGGCAATGTGATTTTGAAGTTAAGCATACCAATTGTCATTTATTACAATGTTATTGTAAGGGCCAATAATTAGCACTTGTATATCCGTTTACATACGCACACCAAAATATAGAAACAATAAAAATTCAAAATGGGTCAAGCACATTAGAAGGGGAAAAAAACTTGCCTAGATAAATACCAGTTGAATGTGTGGCAACGTTGTTTTCAAGAAAGGTTACTCCAAGGATATAAAGAGGTATTCCTGCTATTCCTTGCACAATCTGCCCAAGGATGAAGAAAGATACATATTTTGATCGGAATGGTGATGAAGCTTTCTTGCAAGCTTTGGTTATCTTCATTTCTTGGCAAATATCTTTTGAAAAGATAATTATATTTTTGTTAAATGAGTCAAAAGTTAAACATACAACAATATGCAGTATCTTTTATGAAATATTTTACCTTTTACAAGCTATTTCCACCATTATGCTTTTTTCTTTTAGTTAACATTTCATTTACATTGAATGTAGTAGTTCTACAATCAATCATCATGTTCTCAGAAAAATGTAATGATAAAAGAAAATTTGTAGGAATACTGGAAAAGACATACGTATTATAAACCAAATATAAACGTGTATGCATGATTATATGCATATACACACGTGTGCATAGGTATATATACATACACACACATACATAATACACAGACACACATATTCTTTTTAAATTTGGCATCTGGTATCTCTGACTTTTGAACCCAGGATAAAAGTATTTTTTAATATTCTAGATTATCTAAATTATCAAAGATTACCTTCTGAGTTTAGTTCCATATCCACTTCTTCAGCAATCTTCACATTAACTTTGTGTCACTCTGATTAAATAATTTCCCATTTTAGACTCACTAACTTCTAGAACACAGGTTCATAAGGACAAGGTTTATACAATAAAAATTTCTTTCTGTTAGAGCTAATCATTATATGGTAATCCACAAGATTTTAAATACCTTTAGGTGACAGTCAGTTTCTTATGCTTTTTTTTACTCACGTGGTTGTACAACAACAGTAAATAAATGTTTGTTGGAACTGCATTTGTTACTAGATTGGTAGATCCAGGCAATGCTATCAGATCATTCTGATCGTGTCCATTTTGATTGGAATTTAACAAATGCTGTTAAAATATTATTGTGGAAAACTAGTTAAAGTGTAGATTGCAAAATAGTACACTAATGGCAATTTTCAGCTGGTTCAGTACTCATATAGAATGATATTTTATTCTATGTCAAATGGGAGGAGGTCTCTAGAATTGTGATTCAGAATACCAATGACAATTTTATATAGACATATTAACTTGCGGTGCTATCAGTATCAATGTGATATTTCCCACACTCTGGCCTCTTAGTTCCTTGAACTCCTCTCCTCTCATGTACTTGTACTCCACTTACCTTAGCTACTCATTTCAAATTTTCAAAAACAATAACTACAAACCTTCCTTAATCGCCATTTCAAGCATCCTAAACTCAAACCATCCCTATCTTTTCAGCTCACTCCTTCTTGTAACCCAATTCTAACAATCCTAAAACCCACCAGGACCTATAATCCATTGATCCTGCTCCTTTTCACTATCCCAATGCCCCCTTCGTGCCCTTACTTCTATCATTGTCATCTTAACACATTTAAATCCCTTGCTATCTTTCATATCATGCAATCCCTCAATAAAACTGCAACCCTAGTCAAATGAAACTCTTCTCCCTACTCTATATCCACACTTTTAAAGCTGAATGTGGCTGGAGGAAAACACACAAGCATACAAATCTCACTTTGAACTCATGATTATTAAACTCAAACTTCATCTTCCTAATAATCAAATATTTCCCTAATCTACTACTCTTGCCTTCTCCTAGAAAATTAAACTTGTTTATTTCCTTTCTCCTAGGGATCACAGTCCTGAGATTCCTGATGCCAACATCTGAAAATAAATGTTTTCCACCAATAGAATAAAACCAATCTTTTAGCTCCCTTCTTCATGTTAAAAAAAATTCCTTGTTTGGGGCCAGCCCCATGGCGTAGTGGTTAAGTTCAGCATGTTCCACTTAGGCAGCTTGGGTTCATGGGTTCAGATCCTGGGCACTGGACCTACAACAATCATCAGCCATGCTGTGCGGTGACCCACATATAAAAGTAGAGGAAGATTGGCACAGATGTTAGCTCACGGCTAATCTTCCTCAAGCAAAAAAAAAGTGAGGAAGATTGGCAACCAATGTTAGCTCAGGGCTAATCTTCCTCAGCAAAAAAGAAAGGAGGAAAATCCCTTGTTTGGACTATAATTTCAAGAAGGAGGGAGCAGCCAACACTACAAAATATTGGTAATAGTTCAAGAAATATCACAAGTAAAAGGTTTAATTATATTAAATATTAATAAATTATGTTGGTGGCTTGGTAAAAATAATTCTGTTGCAGTGTTTAGAGTGGAGGCCATGTTAAAGTGGGTTGAAGAAAGAATATGAGATAAAGTCAGAAAGCATAGACAATTCTTTCAAACAATTTGTCAATGAAAATGAGGAGGTTGTGCAAAGTGATAAAAAGAGGACTATGGATTATGTCTATTGTTGTTTTGTTGTTTATGAATGGGAAGAACTTGAGCACATTTGAGTGCCAACGAGTGGAAACCAAAAGAGAGGGAGAATTTGTAGAAGGAGGAGGGAGAAGATCACCAATGGAATAAAGTCCCCAAGGAGCAAGAGAGCACGGGATGTTTAGCAGGAGGAGAGTGCTTTTATTTTAACAAGGAAGAAGTAAAGAATGTCAACATGAAAATATAGCTGGGGGGCCAGCCCGGTGGCACAGTGGTTAAGTTCACGCACTCCGCTTTGGCGGCCTGGGGTTCACAGGTTCAGATCCCAGGCACAGACCTATGCATCACTTATCAAGCCATGCTGTGGCAGGTGTCCCACATATAAAAAAAAATAGAGGGAGGTGGACACAGATGTTAGCCGAGGACCAATCTTCCACAACAACAACAACAACAAAAATATATATATATATATACACACATATATATATATAGGTGGAATTATAGTTTCTATGGTAAGAAGTTAAGGCGATCTTCTATTATGGCATGTATTTTCCATCCAACACAGAAGAGAAGAGTTAAGCGAGATGCTATAGACTGAATGTTTGTGTCCCCCCAAAATTCATATATTGAGTCCCTAATCCCCAATGTAATGGTATTTGGAGATGGGGACTTTGGGAGGTAATTAGGTCATGAAGGTGGAGCACTCATGAATGGGATTAGTGCCCTTATAAGAAGAGATACAAGAGAGCTTGATCTCCCTCTCTCTTTCTGTCTCTCCACTGTATGAGGACATAACCAGGAAGAAAGTTCTCAGCAGGAACCAAATGGGCCAGCGCCTGGATCTTGGACACCCAGTTTCCAGAGCTGTGAGAAATAAATTTCTGTTGTTTAAGCCACCTAGTCTGTGATATCTTTGTTATAGCAGCCCAAACTACAACATGAGGAAAGTCTAAAATCCTTGTTGTGAATTATGGAAGACAGAGTGGACTAAAAATCAAAAGGGAAATGGATCCATTTGAGAGCATAATCAAGGTTGACATTAACAAATTCATTGTGGGACTAAGCTGTCCTCTTGTGTGATTTTTCTCTAAAACACTCATCAACAGCCCAGCTAAAGGAAAAATATATGGTTGGATCAAAAGTATTCCAAGCCAGGACTAAGAAAGGACAATAGGACAGAGAGCTTAAGATAATGATTAGAGTATGTTTGAAGTACTCTAATATTTCATATTAAGGAACTTAAAATTAGCTACAAATGAACGAAAGTATCAGCAAGGAGAATCTGGTAACGGGAGAAAGTACATGTCAATAGACTGAAGGTTCCAATGAAAGGAAAGAACTGCTATCTTTGTTATATGAGTGAGCTGGAAGAATTAGTGGGTACAATCAAAGAGCGGGACAACAGATATATAGGAAGTTCTCAGTGAAGTGACAGTGCACTGCAACCATGGGTACGTTGGGTGGTCAATTAAATGTAGAGATCTAGAAACTAAAGATCAGAGTGTGATACAAGTGTTTTCATGAACTAGTGAAGAAAATTCAGTTTTAACTTCTCAAGGATTTGGTGGAGTATGATATCCACATGTTGGTTGAGGCTTGGGGGCTGAAGATCAACTTGTCATAAGTATAGAAAACTGTGATGGGGTCGGGGGAACAAAGAAAGAGGAGTGGGAGGTGGTGGTAAATGGACTGTTCCAAAGAGGTTCAGACCACTCATAAGGGAAGACGAGCATAACAGCTAAGCGGGGAGTATAGAAAAGAACAGAATAGGAGAGATATTTAGAGAAGAAGAGAGGAAGGACCCAAAAAAAAAAAAAAAAGGATGAAAGAAGAGAATATAAAAATTCAAAAAAAAAAAATATATATATATATATATAAAAACTGAGGTGTGAACATAGAGTAGAAAGCTAGTTACAAAAGAACTAAACGTTTAAACAAAATAAGTAAAATATCTGCATAGATAAGTGTATGATATGAGGACATCTACTGCAAAAACTATTTAGCTTATTTCTGCTTTTTTAATACCAGAGGGTCACCCAGTAAATACACTGAATAGGTGCTGTTTGATAAGCTGCATGTTCCTAATCACAAGCAGAAAATAAAGTATGTATAATCTAGATGATATAAAGAAGACACAAAGGAAGAAAGACTACTATTTCTACTCCCCTGACTCCTTATTGAGTTCTGATCAAACAGCATTTTTAATTTGTCTCAAGCAGTGCTTCATAACTTTTCACCCCCTCTGACCAGAACAGGGTTAAGGGAAGAATAGGAATGAAGCATTTTCCATTCCCTTCTTTCCATAAGTCATCTTCTAGTTTAATCAGCTGTCCATTCTACAAATATAACAAATATATTACAAATACATTTTACAAATTAGTAAATATATTAATTCTACATATTTATATTCTACAAATATAATACATTATAAACATATGTGCATATTATATAGTCTAATATATGAATTAAACAGTATATAAATATATTAATATGTTATATAAATTATTGCATTTAATATGAACTATTTTTTACTTATATCGTAAACACACATCATAAACATACTTTTTAAACATCATAAGCATGTACATACAGGTACACACACACACAAAGACATCTTCATGCCATTTTCCGCCATGTCTTGTGAAAGCCCAGTTTAAAGTTGCCAAAATGGGTAAATGCATTCCAACGCTTTTATACGCATAGACACAACAAGAAAGTACCTTACATAATAGTGTCAGAAATAGTGCTATGAAACTTTAAACAGCCTCTATCTACTGACAGTGGCAAAAAGACTGTGGAATAAATCGAAAAAAATGAACAAAGTGAAGATGCCACCAATCTTTTTAGATTCAAAGTCCTACGTCAAAGGGCTGCTCCCATTTTGAAATGGTAGGAGTACCTAGAAAAGGTTTGACCTTTCTTTTTGTGTTTATAAGTTTGTTTCTGTTTGTATTTGTGCTGTGTGTATGTGTGTTGAGGCCAAAATAAAGGGATTAATTAAAGCATATTGTGGAAGACATAAGGAATTACCCAAGTTCTCAAGAAATTTACAATATATATGAAAATTGATAAAAGAAAAACAATCTCACAAAATAATTACCCCAAAACCTTCTTTCTTCTTCCTAAGCCCATCTCTTACATGAAAGTGTATACAATCGTGAGAAGATGAGAGAATGGCATACGTGTTACTAGGGAGCTACAATTAATTAGCTTAATAAACTTTGTCATATAAATAGATACAAACGGATGGATGTACAGCCAGACAAGTATCACAGTCTATTTTAAGTTCCTAGTGCCAATAGTTTAAGTAAATAATGATTTGATGTATGACAGTATCTTTTAAAATCTTACCTTCAGTTTCTACATTCAATGGAAAATCTTCACCACTAAAGTATGGAAAAGCAAATAAAAGTGATCCAAACCCTATTAAAAAGGAAGAAACTGTAATCCATCTTGGTATGTTTCCTCTCCCTCCATAGTATGCCATAAACACCCCTACCAAGCAAGATGAAATATCATAACTCGAGGACAACACTAAATTCTCAATGGTTTTCAGACGATTGTTCTTCTGAAGAGTGTCAATGCTCAGATCTACAAGACCAAACACAATACCTAAAATGTAAAAAGAAAAAAAGAAAGCAATAATATGCATTTACGAGAGAAAACAGATCACCATTATAATCACTACAAAGCAAAACAATTTACACTGATTTAAATTTATTTTGTTATTCTGAATGTTAGAGATCTATAAGCACATAATGATTCCTTTTCTAAAACGCTAATAGGCCTTAACCTTTATGAAATATTTGCTAATTGAATTTCTGTAGATATTTTTAAACTATGTTTATGAGTAATTCACTGAAGAATACTGATCTTTTTAATCAGCTCACTTAGTATTGATTTTTACTTTAACATATTATATTTCAATTATTAAAAAAATGAATAAATAACAATCTAATGAATATTTGTTTATCTACCACCCAGAATAGAAAATAAAACATCAAAATAGTTGAAGCCCAACATGTACGCCCCAAACACACTCTTCTCTCTCCTTCCATAAGCCATATCCTGTATTTGAAGTTTACCATTTCTGAGACTTTTAAACACTTTTTTGACAATGGTACATCTTTGAACAATATAGAATATTGTTTGTCATGTTCTTGAACATTAAATAAATGGTATAATATATGTGCACTTCTATCATTCAGCATCCAACTAGGAAAAAATAATCATACCAAATGTTTGAAACAAAAAGAAATTGATATAGACCTGGTTACAAAAGTAATACACTTGTTGGAGTGAAAAGGGAAAATAGTTACTTATCAAAATTCATGATATCTATGCCACTCAAAGTTGCTGGAGCATTGGCTGCTGCTGCTGCTGCTGCTGTTGGAATTGCCATCCCTACCTCTTTTGCAGGAAGCAAGGACCCACAGTCCTGCTAACAATACGAGAGCCAGCTCACAGTCACCTGCTGCTTCTGCTGCGATTGCAGTTGCCAGAGCCAGAACCTGAGCCCTTGAGCACTGTGCCACTGAATCATCCACTGTTGCTGCTAATAGAGCTGCATTAATTCCTGAGCATAAATCCAGGAGCCTTCACTCACCCAGGACTGCTGCTGCTGCCAAAGACATCACCAGAAACAGAGAGGGAAAAAAAAGGAGGCTTTCCTTTGCCCCTTTTTCAAACCTACTGCCACAGCCTCTCACTGGCAACAACTAGTGGAAGCCAGCTGGCAAGGAAGTCTGGGAAATGTAGTTTACAGGCAGCCAGTTCCCTTGCAAAGGCGAGTCCAATAGGGAAACAATGGAGTTTATGGCCAACAGACAAATAACTTGCAGAGTTCACCCTTTGGACAACTCAGGATACATTTTCACCCTTCTTCCCACATTTAACTTCCACACTAAATTAATAGCAACATCATCATGCTTCTGCCAAACATTTTGCAATTATCACTCTTATAAACAAAGATGTCCTCACTCTTTCCCAAAAAAGGGAGACACAGATTCCAATCAGTCACCATACCCATCTCAAGGTAATGTTAATCCTTCTGGTTCAATCACAAATCTGAATGGATTTTCTTTAACATAGAAACTAAATTGCAAAGGTATAAATGGTATAAAAAGCTATAAAATGTATAAATAAATAATTAAGCAAACATATAGTGGGCCTAACTAAATTTGTGAGGGAATTATATTGCAAAAAAAAAACCCATAAATTGGACTTAGAACCACAACAGTTTGACAGACCAAGACCAGCAGGGAAAAGGATATAAAAACTTTGCTGCATCCAAGAGAAGAATTTTCTTCAACTCTATTTTAGATGTGCTGAAGGAGGCTACTGGCCAAAGTAAGAAATGTCCTGTCAGTAACTGTGTCCATCTCTGGGGTTGGGGTATTAATTCCCCTTCAAATTCAGGAATATTCTGTAACCTAGAGACAAATTGTAAAGTTATCTCCCACTGTAAAATAGTAAGGGAAAGAGAAAGAGAAAAAATATAAAAATTGGAACACACACATATACACACACACAAAAATGTGTATATGTTTGTATGGGTGAGTGCATAAAGAGAGAAAAATGCATAGTTGCTACTAGGCATTTTATGCGTTTATGAAGTTTCTATTTCTCTAAATGGTTATGAGACTACAGGTGATATGTGTAACTTTCTTCTTCCACTATTCACCTCCTCTTCTACCTCTTGACCTCAGTTAACATATATAGGTTGCTATCTCAAAGCATATGCCTCACTCTATAAGAAAGCACCCTAAATATTTTGATTGTTGTCTCCCAGCTGGAGCCTTATCTGAATCTTCAGTAGGACATTATAATTATCTGTAAGGCCAAGAGTTTCTGGTTATTGAGATATGTAGCAAGATCAGTGAATTCCACGAACATGAACTTCCTGCTGTACTTCTTTTGCTATAAAATGTGTTCCTTCATTAAAAGCAATGTGATAATAAATAAGATGATCATGATGGTGTATAAGGCATTCATTAAGTTCAATTATAGTCATTCTGGCAGAACTATGGTGATAAAAAAAAGAACCCATATCCAACATAAATATCTATTTCAGTGAGGAAAAATTATTGCCCACTTCATAATAGAAGCAGACAATGTAATCAACCTGCCTCCAGGTAGCTGGTGGGTTTCACTATGGAATGGAGTAATTTCCTGGATTGTGTTGACTTTTCCTGGTGGCAAGTCAGATGAGACACTCAGCAGTGCAATAGCCAGATCAGCTCTGGTGAAGATAAATTCATGCATTCAGCTCTTGTATAAGCTCTGTCTTTGACGCAACTGTCACTATAAACATGAATCTATTGAACAAGACATACAATGGCTGGGGAAAGAGGCTGGCCAATATTCATCATATGGTTATCTATCTACTTCATTATTGAGAGCTTCCTCTGCAATGGATTTCTTCTGGTGAACATTCACTTAGGATAACTCTGCCCACTCAGAGAGACATACCACTTACCTAACCTTCCTAGTCACAAAACAGTCAAACCATTAGGCAATGGCTGCGTGGTATCTAGGCAATACGGACAATCAGATGTACTGATCAACATTCAGCCCTCTGGGAGGATTTCCTTTTTCCTCTATTTTTCAGGGCTTCCCCTGAGTAAAGCTATAATGCTACCATAGCATACATTCAAAAACCCACAAGTTCACCGAAGATTATGTTTCTTTCTTAATAGTTGGTGGTACAAATGAAGAAACTTTTCCTTCATTTTAGAAGAGGTAGCCCTTCACACTCCAAACCAATCAGTCCCTAGAGACACCAGTGAAGTGTCAGGCAAATTTTTGGTGTATAAGATATCATTTCCCAGGATAGACTCTATGTTAGTCGTTCTGGGAAGGCTGAGATCTAATTCTAGTTATAAGTCTGGCAGCAACGGGGCAGGAGAGTGGGGGAGGAAGTCCTGAGGGCAATCAGCATTTCCCTAACTCAAGTGAGGTAAATTCAGTGTCTTCAAGCAAGGAATTGCTTTTTCTTCAGACACAGGAGTAACAGGTGCTCCTGCTGGGAAAGAACATTCAAGATTTCAGGGTGTATGGTTCTCAGATTCACTGAATTCCACCAAAATGCCTTTATCCCAAATTTCAGGATTTCACTTCTCTCCAATCAGTGCCCCCAACTCTCACATAAGTGATCCGGTGAATCTATGAATTCAACTTATGTTGTAATTCTGCAATCATGACTAAGGATTGGTACTGTTCAAAATATGCAGTATGTGGCTAAAACTAATGAGATTCTCACAGAACCATCAGAGAAGCTCATATATTTTCTAATCTTGCCCTAACTTTCTCATTTTCTTTCTGTAAACTTTCCAGTGCAGTCAGAAGCAGTCAGTCAACCCCAGAATTCTGTAGTGAAAAGTTTCACCATAGTAGTCAACTGCAGAAGCTATTCTGCAGAAGCTATTGGTCTCCCAAAGTCTTGCCTTCAATAAGAACTTTACCCCAGGCAACACTTAAATAACTGTTTAATCACTATATGCCATGGACTTCCAATGTACCATTTTCCACAGGCACAAATATTGCTGTTTTCATTGCTTTCAAGCCCAATCAGGTCAAATAACCAATTCTAGATTCCCATCTTTAAGGGTTTGTTTTTTTCCTGGTTCAACATCTGGTATGGTGTATTATGTAAAAAAATCATATGATTTTTATAATTTACAGACAAATTAGTTTTATTACATTGGTGAAGCTAACAGTTTAGTCAAAAACTTTTCAAACATCTTTATATTACATATCACAGCATTTAAAAAATAAAGGAATATTATTCTTGATACATACTCACATACTTGAACCAATTTCTAGCCATACTTATCTCCGATAAATTGCTATTCATATTTTTTCCTGAAGAATATATTCTTAGTATGGTCTTATTTCTAATTGTTCTCATGAAATTAGCTCCAATACATTAAAGTAGCTTTTTATAGTTTTGCAGTAAAGGGTTAATTCAGCAGGCCTTAGTTGCTCAAAAAAGGCCTGTCTTCAAGACTGGCCTTTGGTTGGCTCCTGGGAGATAACTCTGAGCCCTCAGAATAGTCTGCCTGATAGGAGTTCTTTTACGTGCCTGAGGCCTTGAGCCACACAGTATCAGTTGATCAGATAGTTTATGCTAAAAACATGATTTATGGTGAATGCCCTTTTTGTGGTGTATGTGGGAGTGGGGTAAAGGAGTCTGAGTAGCTGACTCAGTCACTCAGCTACACAGATGCTGCATGCCTACATGATTGACCCCAAAACAATCCCTGGACATCAAGGCTCATGTGAGCTTCCCTGGCTGGCAACTCTTTACATGTGTTATCACACATTACTGCTGGAAGAATTAAGCATGTGCATTGACTCCACTGGGAAAAGACACACAGAAGCTTGGGCTTAGTTTCTTCTGGATTTTGTCCCATGTGTCTTTTCCCTTTGCTGATTTTAATCTGTATCCTTCCACTGTAATAAATCATAACCTTGAGTATAACATCTTTCTCTGAGTCCTGAGGCGTTCTAATGAATCATTCAGCCTGAGTGAGGTCTTAGGGGCCTCCAATGTAATATAGTCATGCGTTGTTTTAACGACAGGGATATGTTCCGAGAAGTGCGTCATTAGG